AGCGATTAACGGTAAAATAGTACTTCTTCTGCGAATTTCAAAGGACCGTTCTTGCTCAGAGCCTTTGGAGGTTAAAAGGTTGTTTATGATAGACTTAAAAAACCTTGAGAGCCGACTACTCATGCTCAAAGTTTGCATGGATCCTCCTTAATTTGAATGAATTAAGACATGTTTACATGGAGATTGGCTACTGCAGGTAGTTAAGGTAACTCAACTAGCTGTGGTCGAAAATAGCCCGCATTTACATATAAACTTACCACCGCAGGATCCCGGGGTGAATTTTCTAGAGGTTGTTGGAGCGTTTGCAAATGTAATATTAACGCGACCCCAGCTTGGCGGGTTATCCCACCTTTAGCGGTTTACATGGCAAATTACGACCCCAGCTGAAAGGGTTACCGTACCTGGCAGATCTGGCAGACCGGGCAGCCTGCCTAGGCAGACTACCTCATCTACTATGTAAACATGATCAAGATAAAGTGAGAGCTTACGTGGACGGCCGGGTTTCTCCGAATTGGTCGGTTACTTCTCCTACCTAGGGTCCGTCACGTCCATGTTAACAGGCAAGAAAGACTTTAAAATAGGACTTCTATTAAAAAAAAAATGCTAAGTGAAAATTACATACAGATGCACAATTTGGTGGAAAATTTTTCACAGCGCTGTGAAAATATTCATTAAAACCAGACACAATCGTATATTAAGCATAATATGACTCAAAACAGGACAATATCGAAGAGCATTAAAATCTGCGAATACTTTTTGCCCTCGTTTCTAATTTACCTACGACAATTTTTTTTGCAATGAGATGTCTTGAAGGAGAATCTGAGAAGATTCACGGGCTCAAAATGAGGTGAATTCTCTGGATCGAAATGATGAGCTTACCAACAGCTTAGCCTCATTGTTTCAAAATGTCCCCTAAGGCTTTCAGTAAACATCTCATATGTTACCACGCGAGGTCGAGTATTTGTGTGTGGCCCTATATTAAATTCAATCCTTGAATTAGACGTTAATTTTATTGAATCATTAAAACTTTACAAAGGGAACACTTAAACGAAAATGCTGCAACCGGTATTACAAAAAAGATCTCTTAATGTTCTATTAAGCCAAAAAAAAAAAAATATATATATATATATATATATATATCAACTAAGTCGACAGCAAACTGCAAGGAATGAACCTGTGTAAAAAATTGACATGACAACGACATGGAAACTGAAGTGCCCATAGGGCTCTTCAAAATACGGCACACCTTGTAAAAACATTAACCGATACTACGCACAAAAATTTCTGATAAGATATATGTATAATAAAAGGAATCCAAACTTATTGTTATTGCTTGTAAAAAGGGGTTGAGAAACTCAAAACTTGCGGCTGAAACATCTGCAAAACACCTGGGTGGATGAAATTTTTTTTTAATTACCATCTAACATAGCAAAGTTTGGTGCTAAAAACTGCTTGTTTCGAACATTCATTCTCCTTAATTTCACCAACTAATTTGTAAAAGACTCCACATTAGAGGCGATAAATTTACAGGAAAGTTTATCATCAAAGCGGACATATATCACTTCTAATTATAACAAGGCGTAGGTTTTTCATCACTTCATTTTCTC